TTTTTTTTTTTTTTTTTTTTTTTTTTTTTTTTTTTTTTTTTTTTTTTTTTTTTTTTTTTTGCTTCTCTCTCTCGTATGCTGTTGTTTGTGTTAGCATTCTTCTTAATGAGTACCATCCATTGCAACAGTCCTATTTGAGTCTACTTTTTCCCTCTACGACGTACTAATAACTAAATTGCATTACAGGATCATAGTTCTTTAGGAGCTTAGGCAGACAATGGTAGAGCTGTAGACTAAGCTGAACAGTATAGATTTTTTAGACAACTGGTATTGATTGGATTTACGTAGCTGATGAAGGAGAACGATTTTGAATCTATGAGAACTCACATTGGTTGGAATCTATGAGATCTCACGTTGGTTGGGGAGAGAAACGAAACATTCTTTAAAAATGTGTGAAAACCTCTCCCTAATAAATGCGTTTTAAAATTGTGAGGTTGACAGCAATACGTAATAGACCAAAGCCGGATAATATCTACTAGCGGTAGGTTGGACTGTTATAGAATCTTCAAATATCTTTAGTTGTGGCTCTGCTTATTGATAGAGTCATTAATATTACAATTTTGTCACTACTAGGAAAAGTACTGTGAATAGGTATCTCGTCAATGTCATTTTTTAGCTATCCCTTTTGCTCGTCAAACCACCCAACAATTGCTAGAGCAAATTTGAGGGTGTATTGTAGTAAGATTTATACTCAAGATATTACCTCCATTGGAAACTTTAACTTTGTTGGTCTCTGCCATTGTAATTATTCCTCACTTGAATAAGGAGTACGTGTTCATGATTGTAACCATCTGAGACCAGTACTAGTAGATATTGTCCGCTATGATTCGTTATGTATTGTCGTCAGCTTTATAGTTTTAAAAAGAGCCTGCTGGAGAGAAGTTTTCACACCCTTATAAGAAATGTTTTGGTTTCCTCTCCAATCGATGTGAGATCTCACAATAATCTTAAAAGTTCACTTAATAATTTCATGTCAATCTTGCCAACGAGCTGCTCAAGCCTAGATCGTTTTCTGGCTTAGATATTATGTTATACATTGATGAATTCATATGGGACATGGCTAGGTCCAGTAGGTTTGTATTCAAATCGTAATAATTTGAGGAAAATATTTGAAAACAAATATATTTAACTTCTGATGAGAGATTAAAATGTTTTACATCTTGTTATATGTCTTAATTAAATGAGTTATATTTGGGTCATTTTGTCCGTTGTTTAGAGTTTTATTATGTATTTGAACATTTTTTTTAATTATTATAACGGTTTAAACATTTTTGCAAGTTCCAATTGTTTCAAAATTTTGTCTTAAATTATTTCGATTTCAAAGTACAATTTAATTTCAATATGGTCCTGATACATCGTAAATAATTCTTAAGTTAACTTTTGTTCACCTAAAAAATCTGTGAAGCTATAAACTTTAACGTCATCAACTAACACAACCAAACATCTACATAAGGGAATTTGATAGTTTGAAGAATTCTTTCACAAAATAATTTATCCTAAAAAATCGGTGATATTTAAAATAATTCTCTAAATTTTTAATTTTGTGTCTAGTAAATTTTTTAATTTTAAAAAAATATCTAAGAGTCTGATAGATCAACGTTCTCCAATTTATATGGATTTTTTTAAAATTTTTTTTTGTTATTCACAAAGCAGATATAAAATTGAAATTTAAATATTAATTAATTTTTAAAACTGAAAAACTCAAAATACAATTTTATAATTAAAATGGTAATTTAAGCTAAATAAGAAAAAGCCGGAAGGGGAAGAGGAGCGCGAGCGCGAGCGCGTTGAGACAGGTCATAGACGATCCTTTCCAAAGTGCTCTGTGCGCAGTGCGCACCGCTTTCGTTATCTTTTGGTTCGGTCCACCCACCCTCCCTCCCTCCATCGCCATTAACCCTCAATTTCCTTCTTTCAATTCGATTCCATTTATTTTCTTTTCAATTCTTCGAACGAATTCGCCTCCCCAGATACTAATTCCCTCACGAGATCCTTCCTCTTCCCCGCTTCTTCCATGGTAGCTGCTCGATCTTGTTTCTGATCATTAAAATCCTCTTATCTCTCTGTTTCTGTGAGTTTCGTCCTCCTTCGCCCTTTTGATTCAACTTTTCTTGCTCCATTTCTCTGTTTCTGTGATTATGAGGACCGGGTTCTGGGTGATGGGGATTGTTGTCTTGGCCATCATGTTGGAGAGCCAAGCGTCTTCCGCCCACTCGGTTAGGGTTTCGCATTCAGGTCCCTCTTGTCCTGTTGAATCTTTTTTGGATACGATCTTCTCTTCTAGGGATTGGAACTCGAATTGCCCCTTTCACGGTGAAGATGGGCACTTTGAATTTATTGGTGTTTCTGAGGTAACTAATTTCTTTTTTTCCTTCTCTGTTTCTTTCACTAATCTGAACGAACTTGTATGTAGTTAAGATCATCATCTGGTGGAGGGTTTCTTCCAACTCACTCTCTTGGATTTGGTTTTGACGTGTTGTTTCGTTTTGGTCTGAGTTCTTTTAAAAAAATTATGGTCGAATTGAGCTTTTAAAAACGATTTACACAGAAATTCTGCCTTTGTTAGTCAAGTTTGATGCTATTAGTTTGTTTTCGGAGCATGCAACTAAATAAAGCTCAGAAGAAGACGATGGAACCTAAGCATTTTTGCTTCTGGAGTTCTGAGTTCGTTCCTGATCTTTTTCTTGGTTCTAATTGTGAGAACTGGGAATTGTGTTCTTCACATAGAATTTGGAAAAGGCTGGAGTTTTGAGTTTAATCTTGATGCATACTGGATGGTTAGAGGCAGGTTGTTATAATTGTCAGGATGATAACTTAGCTATTTATTTTTGCTATGATCAAGGGAGATGAAGCCTTGTTACAAATGGCAATGAATATGGTTCATAAAAACCGTTACGACTACATCGCAGTACTCTTCTATGCATCTTGGTGCCCGTTCTCCAAGTCTTTTAGGCCGAGATTTTCAATACTATCCACTTTATATCCTTCTATCCCGCATTTTGCAATCCAAGACTCAGCTATCAGGCCAAGGTTTCATATTAAACTTTCACCTTTTCAAATTTGCGTTGTATGATCGTGTTTTTTTTACTTATCTGAACATAACCCATATTTTCTTGCAGCATACTCTCTAAGTATGGGGTTCATGGTTTTCCTACACTTTTCCTTTTAAATTTGACAATGCGTGCTCGGTACTATGGTTCCCGAACTCTCCCTTCTCTTGTTGGATTCTATAATGATGTTACTGGTAAGGTTTCTTTTTGCTGCCTCTAAATTTTGCTTCCAATGAGATAGTTACTTATTTTGAATTCATAGAAACTCAAATTGTGCAGTCTCGTGCTAAGTTGTCTGCATCTTTTTCTTAACAGACTACATTTTATATAGAAACAATTAAATTGCTCAAAGTTGCTGATTTTCTTTATGTCAATTAAAATATGTTGAATCTTGGTTTTTGGACATGTTATCCTTGACGTACCGATTTATAATAAAATTTGCTTTTACTAATCGTGTGATAGATATTTTTCAGAAGGTCTTGTGGTGGTTTTGAGGCCCCTCTGATATTGGATGAATCGAATAAGCTTTAATAAGTAGCTGGTGACCCCCACACATGGGGCAAGTAGTTGGAAATATTAATTTTGCATCAATATGCAGAATTGTATTTTTATTATCCGATTTTTGTATCCAGTCTTAGCTTTAATTGAAGATTTGACGAATAGTCTTAATTGCAACTGGACCCAGGTTGTTAAGTTTCTATTATTTGATATTATTGGTTGTGGTTTACTTGTTTATAGGCATTCAGTCTGCATCACTGGATCAAATATCACCAGATATAATCGGACAAGTGAGGAATGAGGAGAAGCATGACGATAACAATGAGCAGGAAAATTGCCCATTCTCGTGGGCAAGGTCTCCAGAAAATTTACTTCGGGAAGAGATGTACTTGGCTCTGGCTACTTCATTTGTGCTTTTGAGATTGATATATATCTTCTTTCCAACCCTTTTAGTCTACGCTCGAGACGTTTGGCAAAGGCATGTTAGGAACCTAAGATTTGGAACCTTGTGGGAACGACCTTTGACGTGCCTGAAAGGAGCAATTCAGTTATTCAGTCATTTCAAGGATCCTTGCAAGAGAAGCAATTTGCAAGGAGGGGCCATGAATGCCAGGATATGGGCCAAGTCTTTTGCCACAGTTTCAATAGGTGATGCAAGCTCTTAGTAGCCACCAGGCGTGCCAGTGAAAATGTCGTCGTCGGTGTGCATCAAATCCCTTAATGGATGGTTCTGTGGTGAACTGCAGAAAAGGCAGCCTCGAGTAGTTTTTGGATTCAACATAATGGGAACAAAGGTAAAAACATGGACACGCTTCCTAATCCATTATCTTTTGTTGTGGAATTTAGTTCAAAATTTGCTACGCATCTCTGCATATATGATGTCTGTCTGAACCCAATTTGTGCATAGTAACCAACAGACTCCTCCGCCCCCTTGTGTGTAACTTCTTGCAAATGCCACAACCACCCATGGTAGGTTCTGAAGGCAGTGTTCATTCGATCCTTTTGAACTCCTCACTGGAGGGTTGTTGTGCCCCAAAAAACATCCCCTTATGTTTGTATATCATCGTTCAGCGAATCCTACCCCTTCCCATGTTCTCAATTGTCATCGGTTTTGGCAACTGAATGTTGTGAAGTGAGATAGTAATTTCATTTGAAGGTCTCAAAATCTCTGTACTCTTGTAATGTTAAGTTGTAATCAGCAACTTTGTTCTATGAGAAACTATTGTTTACCAGCTTTCAGTTCTTCCCATGGCTGGCTTCTTTATGCTCTGCTCTTTGGCCGTCTATGGATTGCCATTTATGTTATTTTTCTCCTTTGAGCTTTCTCAGACCGTAGACAAGTTAGATCAAATTGGACAACCTTTTGAAAGGCATAGCAGCAGTTCCCCCTATGTCATTTCAGGGTTGGAACCAATATCGTAGTAGCTTTTGCGTAGGCCAGCCATTTTGAGGTTAGACAACAAATTTAGTAGCAATAGCAAAAACACATAACGAAGCATCAACGAGAACATATAACTCGTATCGTATCTTGCAAAATTACAAAATCCCAAATGACTGATGTTTGCGTAAAACGAGAATTGTATGGGTACCATGGCAAAGATCGCTTAGTTTTGTTCATCTTTGGCGCAAGAGCGTCCAATCAATGAGCTATTATGCACTCTTTCAAAGGTGGCTGCTTCTAAGCAAACCTCCTGAGTGTCTCTGCACTCGCAAACCTCTTGAGTGTCTCTGCACTCCTACCTCCTTTATCACTGAGCAATCATTTAGGGGTCTTAATTGGTGA